GAGAGGCGAGAGGCCAAGAGACTTGCCTGGGGTCACACAGCGGCTGAGTGGCCGAATCCAAAGGTCACTTCTACTCAGTCTGTACGCTCAGAGCCGAGGACCAGTCTCGGGGGGTGGGGGGGGGGGGGGCCTAGCTGGGGGGGGGGGAAGCAGGGGTGGTTTCAGAAATGAAGGAGCCACAGGCACAGAGAGGCCAAGTGACTTGCCTGGGGTCACACAGCGGCTGAGTGGCCGAATCCAAAGGTCACTTCTACTCAGTCTGTACGCTCAGAGCCGAGGACCAGTCTCGGGGGGTGTGGGGGGGGGGCGCCTAGCTGCGGAGAGTGAAAAGGCAGGCTGTGGACAAAGGCGTCAGTCTGAGGGCTCGGGTGTGAGGCTGGACCAGGAGCCTGAGCTGCTGAGATGCTCTGTCCCCAGACCCCGTGGCGTGGCTCAGCTGCCTCTGCCGGCCCTGTGCGCGCTCAGGCTCAGGCCTCTGGGAGGGCTCGATGCCCTCATTCTGCCGTTCCACAGAGGCCCGCGAGGAGACCTGGGGGCCCGTGTCTGTCCGGGGCTGGTCCCCTGCTCAGCCACCTACTCCGTGGGCCTGTGGGTGGAGCAGGAACTGGGGGAGATGGGCAAGTTTCCAGAGGAAGGGGTGGGGGGAGGGGCGGTGCAGACACCATCCCCGGTGTCCCCTGCGGAGGGATGCCGTTTACTGAAGTTCATGGTGGCCCAGCCAGCACGCCCAATTTGATCTTTGCAATGACCCTAGCTGGAAGGTATTATCAGCCATACTTCACAGGCGAGGAAACCAAGGCACAGAGAGGGGCAGCCAGCCCCCCAGCCACACAGCCAGGGAGGCAGTGCCTTGGCCCCAGGCCCGATTTTAAATTCCAGGAGCTCGAGCTAAAACGCCAGCTCCCCCTGGCCTGGTTACTGAGAAACGGGTGGGAGGAAGTCCCTGTGGCTCAGCGATAACATCACTGTGACGAGCACTTTGTGGGTCTGTCTGCAGAGGACGTCTTCGATGAGTTATTCAGTCTGGCTCCCGAGAAGGTGGGCGCCGTGAAGGAGGTGAGAGACCCGAGTCCCGCAGCTCTGCCCCCCGCTCCCCCCACCCCCGCCTGGGCCAGGCTGGGGGGACAAAGGGGAGGAAACAGGTCCCTGGGCCACACCTGCTATACGCCGGGTGCTGTGGGGCCGAGGGGGGCTGTCTGTCCCCCGAGGGGGAAGGTGGCACCCTGAGCCCTGGCTGGGTCCTTGCTCTTCCCTGGGTAGGCCATCGTGACCTTCGTCAACCAGAAGGTGGAGCGCCTGGGCCTGTCTGTGCAGAACCTGGACACCCAGGTAGGCGGTTTCTCGGGTTCGCATCCCACCTGCTCCCCCTCTCCCCTGGGAACGCGACGGTGTCCGGAGAGTGACGGCCTGGGCGAGGCCGGTGCTAGAGGCGGTGGCAGAGGGGCTCCTGAAGGCCTGGTATTTGGGTGGTATCCCCAGGATATGCCAGCAGGAGAGAGTCCAGGCCGAGCCAGCCACTCAGAGGCCCTAACACGGGGCATCTCCATGAAGGCCTTTGGAGGGTGGCTTTCCTCAGACGGGTGTTTTGTCTCTTTGAAGAGGCGGAATTGGGTTGTATTAGCATACGCCGCGCCGGTACCAGGACGACGGCTTTATCTCTGTGCACACAGGCGGAACTGGCAGAAATATTAATGCGGCCGCCGGCCCAGGGAGCCGTGCGCTGGTCGCTGCCTTTTCCCGATGGAATAATTTCCCTCTTAGCTCCGTTCTCTCCCGTGCTCCCGGAGCTCCTGGCCAGTGTGTGGTTTAAAGAGCGATGAGGTCTTCCCCTGGAAATGTAGGACAGCCTTCTCTCAGCACGTACGAGGTGCTGGCAGCCAACAGCCGCTCTGCACCTGCTGTGGCTGCGTTTACAGCAACGCTTCGAGGCCAGGGACGCCGGCCCCATGTCAGACAGGGAAGCTGAGGCCCAGAGAGGCTGTGTGACCTCGGGCCCCTCGGCCTGGGAAAGGAGAGTGGGACCCCCCAGGCCTGTGCCCCAGTGTCTAGGCCATGTGCCCCCAGTGCCCAGGCCATGTGCCCAGCGCCCAGGCCATGTGCCCCAGCACCAGGCCATGTGTCCAGTGCCCAGACCATGTGCTCCCAGTGCCCAGGCCATGTGCCCCAGAGCTCC